AGACAGTGGACTTGGTACATTCTCAAACGTTTCGCCGGCACCGTAGTCGGCATCATCAGTGAGTGCTGCCATTCTCCGCACCAAGCAACGAACTCGTCAAAGAGACAAGTGAAGTCAATCCTTTCACCAACCTCCTGCCAAAATAGCGCCTGGAGTGAAAAGCACACTGGGACTGGAAGCTGAACATAATATGATTATGAATATGACAAAAATGGGTCTAAAGACAGATGATACTGGCATACTATTCATTTCGCTTTGAGGAGGCAGGTCGAAGGGATTTGTCGATTGGCCTCACCGGATGCCGAAGGAGAGTTGAATTGTTGAATTGTTGAATTGTCCTACGGCTCCGATGACTCTGTGCTGAACCTACGTCCGTCATGTGACGGACATCGTAAAAGCCAGAAATCATTATTCACGAACAATCACAGAAAGCACTAAACCAGGAAAGCTGGCCAGTTGAGAGTCTACATACTTCTTGTACTTCCATTTGCGATCTTAATGGGGCATTCTATGATTTAGTTGACTGTTTTATGCTTGCCCCACATGCATGTAAGATGTGGTCACAACTTTTGCCTATGCAAATAGACTAGAGTATGATCAGGTAATCCTGGGGCTTGTTTTAGCTTCGCGGATGTGTGTGCGTTGTGTGCATGCAACATGCATGAGTTGTTGGCAATTTTGGTTCAGAAACCAGATTCCAGCTAAGTCAAGTCTTCTTGTGCTCGGTGGCCCTTCCTGTTCCTTTTCCTCCTCTCGCATTCTATTTAGAAACCAGAGATAGTTCCTACTTAGTTTCCTACGTTCATTCCTCCTATTCAGGATGTTGTTTGTTTTGTTTATTTCAATCTACTCGTTGGTTTTCCGCTTAGCTGTGAAGTCCCCATATCCGGCAAAACGTTGGGATTTCGACCACTCTAGCTGGTGTCCTGTAGTGACCACATGTTGAGCCACTTCCGATTTCTGAATCCATAAACCATTGCAGGAGGTTTTGTGTTCTGATAGCCTCTTATGTATGGATCGACAAGTCTCCCCCACATAAACACTACCACATAAGCACAAAATCTTATAACATCCTGATCTGCAGAGGGCGTCGTGAGATACTCTAAAAGAAGGCATGATCGAAGAAAGCTTTATTATTTCTTTATACATTGTCTTGACGCTCCATTTCCCCAGTAATTAGCATATCTTGCTCAAAAGCTTGCATAATGAAATGCTTGATTAAGATCGTAAATTGAGGTCCCTGCCGGTAGGATCACAACCG